TGAAGAGAAGATCTGGGGTGGGGTAGTGGGGGACAGAGTGGCAGTGGAGAGAGACTGGTTATAAGTAAATATACTGAGAATAATAAAAGCCAGGTTTTTCACTGTCAGAGAAGAGAGTTGCATATAAGGAGAGAAAACTAGAGTAAACTCTATGATGGTTTGGAATTGGATGTATTGATGTTAAGTCGTGGTTTTCACTGTGTGTGTAGGTATATATGTGTACATAGCTCTGTCCAATGAGAGGGTCTATGAGCATCAACACCCTAAAAGCAATGAGCACACCTAGTGCCAAATCTTGTTTTCTGAATACCATTCTTCACTAAAAGGAACCAGGACTTCTTGGAGAAATGGCTACTCCCAGGGCTTGTGCAGGAAAAGCCTTCATAAAATACTGTGTTAGTCTAGAAATTAAGTGATCGTGTTCATGGAAATGTAAATTGGTAGAGCTACTAATAAGAGGTTCCTCAAAGAGTTAAAAATACAACTACCATATGATCCAGCAATTCCACTTCTGGGTATATATCCAAAGGAAATGAAATCACAATCTCAAAGAGATATTTATACTCCCATGTTCATTGCAACACCATTCACAAGACATAGAAACAACCTAAATGTCCATTGACAGGTGAATGGATAAAGAAACTATAAAATGAAAGCTATTCAGCCATGGAAAAGAAGAAAATCCTGTTATTTGAGACCACATGGATAAGCCTTGAGGACATTATGCTAAATGAAATAAGCCAGACAGAGAAAGATAAATAGTATGGTCTCACTTATATGTGGAATCTTAAAAAATCCAGAAACAGAGAAGAATGGTGTTTGTCAGGGGCCAAGGGGTAAAGGAAATGAGGAAATATATAGATCAAAGGGTACAAACTTTCAGTAAAAGAAGAAAAAGTTCTGATTATCTAATTACAATATGATGCCTATAGTTAATAGCACTGTATTGTATACTTGAAATTTGCTAAGAGAGTAAATCTTGTGTTCTCACCAAAAAAAAAGAAAAGGTAACTATGTGAAGTGGTAGATATCTTAATTAACTTGATTTGGGTAATCTCACAATGTATATATATATCAAATCATAACATTGTACACCTGAAATATATATTTTTATTTGTCAAAAAAGCTAAAAAAATAGCAACCAAAAAAATGGTGCAAACTATCTGCAAAGTAATCTTAACCTTTGTTTATATATTTTACTTAAAAGTGTAAGTATGGTATTTTGGAAATAAGCACATCAATATAAATAAAAAACAGGCTTTCCATGTGAGGAAAAATAAATGCAAAGATAAAACCAAAGAATTTGAATAAAACTCAATGCCTTAGAAAAGCACCTTAAAAATAATGGAGGGGGGAGGAAAACAGTCCCTTCAACAAATGGTGCTAAGAGAACTAGACATCTGCATGCAAAAAAAATGATGTTGGACCCCCACACACACACACCTAACACCATACATTAAAAATTTTAACTGATAATGGATCAAAGACCTAACTATAAATGAAATATTATTCAACCATAAATAATGAAGTACTGATACATGCTACAACATAGATAAATCTTGAAGATATTACACTAAGTTAAAGAAGGCAGACATAAAAGACCTCATATTGTATGATTCCATTTACATGAAACTAGAGGCCCAATGCACAAAATTCATGCAAGAGTAGGCCTTCCCTCCCCCAGGTGCCAGCACTGGCTTCCCTCCGGCATCTGGGACCCAGGCTTCCCTCGTAGCCCCAGCTTCATCCGGAAGGTCGTCTGGAAGGATATCCAGTCTAATTAGCTTATTTTGCTTTTATTATTATAGATATCTAGAGGAGCTAAATCCATTGAGTCAGAAAGCAGATTTTTGATTGCCAGAGGCTAAAAGGGTGGGGGAATGGGGAACTAATGCTAAATGAACACAGGGCTTTCATTTGAGGTGATGAAAAATTTCTGGACCAAGATAGTGGTGACAGTTGCACAATATCATGAATGTGATTAATGCCACTAAGTGGCACTAATCATTTAGAAATGATTACAATGGTAAATTTTATGTTTCATGTATTTTGCCATAATTAAAAAATTAAATGAGAAAAATAAAATGATAGAGGCATGTCAAAAGAAAAGAGAAACCAGTTTGAAGCACTCCCCACTGGCCCATCTGGGAGAATTTGAACATCATAGTAAATGTAACAGAAATAGACTCCCATTGAAGGCCCAAAGACAGAATAGTAATAGAAATAGACTATAGACCATTGAATTAAAAAGAAATCCATATATGCAAACATATATATGTTTCTAAATAGTGAAAGAAAAAAATTTCCTTTCAATAAAATACCAACTCATCTTTGTAGAAGGAATGATAGAATTAGAAAACAACCATTTGGTAACCATCATAGTAATAATGAATCTAGTCAAGAAACATCAAGGGATAATAGTTGGTAAAGTTTGATGAGAAGAGAAATACATACAGTCTCAAAGTACTTTCTCACAAAATGCTTATTAATTACAAAAGGAAAGTAAATAGCTTTATAGTGGAAAAAACTGATAGACATACTCTCTTGATCAAATAATCAAAGTTAACATCACCAGTAATGGGACAAATCAAAAGCAGGTGCCAACTGACAGGAGGCAGTGAGAACATAGCATCTCTATCATCAGTTAGGTATATGAACTTGGCCAAATAATGCACCTTTTTATACTTCTGTTCCTTTATCTGATAATATCTCATTTCCATTCCAGTGCTAAATTCCTACTCTCCTAATACTTATAGAACTAATCTAAATATATGTCATCTGTTCAAAACTTGACAAGGGGAGATAGAAGCTCTTCTCTTGGTTTAAGTGGCTGATGTTCTTATATAAGTAAATCAGGCATAAAGTGCACAAAATGACATATATGGCAAAACTTATGAACTTGATCTAATTTTATAGGGAGTCCTGGAAAAGTCAAAAATTGAGAGTTTTTAAAACAATAATATTCTTTCTTTTCAAGGACATACTTGAGTTCAAACTAGGGTAGAACAACGGTTATATGTAAATGAGTGCTTATATAAATAAGTGCTTGGAAGGGCTTTTCCCTTAAAACTGAACATGCTTCCTCCCACTTTGTGAGCACTATCCAGGAGCCTAGAAAAGTCTCTGAGGAATGAAGAAAGCTAACAAGCCTTTCCGCCAGGGCACTCACACTTTCCAGTTACTGAGAGCATCCTCAATACAGGACAGAAATCTCTAGTTGGACAGAAGTCGCTGCTTTCAGAAGGGTCAGATTAATGTCATGTAGTTAAGCAGGAAAGAACGGTTCTGTAAAATAATGTAAGCCCTCACAGAGCAATTCAAATTATTAGCAACCTCATAAATAAATCAGTCTTATCAATATTCAACTGGCAGACCATCAAAAAGTCTAAACTGATCCTATTATACCATTTGGCCTTCGTTATCAGTTTTTATGCTAACAGAAACACATTAATTGGTTAATTAACCAATTAACTGGTTAATTGGTTAATTAATTGGGAGAGCCAATTTGCTGTAATTATTTTTACTAAATTTTTATATTATCCCTTCAATATACAGAACCAACTATATAAGTTCAAACTCTCAGAGTTATTAACAGTTCTGTTAAAGAATAAATTACTAGCTCATGTTTCTTGTTTAATTATTCTTCCTTCCTACACTAAAAACATACACTAATTATAGTACCCTTCAATCAGTCGGGCCTGTTTCCTCTCTTTCATCACCTATGTCCAGTCAGTCAGAAAATACTGCCAACTCTTCTTTGTCAAATGTCTCAAGAAACCAATTCTCTCCTCCCGCAGCCAGGTCCTCATCACCCACACTTGGTTTAGCACATAGACACAGCATCCACTATGGCTTTTCATGTTTGCCAAGGCCTACTAACCAATCTGATGTGGAAACTCTCTCTCCACTCTTATTACTGCAGATCCGACCCAAATTATTTCTTCTCGAGAGGTGGGGGTTTTTGTTTTGGTTTTAAAATATATTTTTATTGATTTCAGAGAGAAAGGGAGAAGGAGAGAGAGGTAGAAACATCAATGATGAGAAAGAATCACTGATTGGCTGCCTCCTGCACGCCCCCTGCTGGATATCGAGCCCAAAACCCAGGCATGTGCCCTGACTGGGAATGGAACCGTGACCTTCGGGTTCATAGGTTGACACTCAACCACTGAGCCACACAAGCCAGGCTACTCAAGAGGATTTTCAATTAGGTTCATGAGACAGGGGCAAGACCTGAGGTAAGACCACAGCTTCTCTTCAAGTTGCCATTAATCTGTTGCGTGTCACTACTTTGGTACACAGAGTCCTAACTGTACTACTATCCAGCCCACATTCTTCCACATTCCATTCTTTTTTAAAAAATATATTTTATTGATTTTTTACAGAGAGGAAAGGAGAGGGATAGGAGTTAGAAACATCGATGAGAGAGAAACATCGATCAGCTGCCTCCTGCACACTCCCCACTGGGATGTGCCCGCAACCAAGGTACATGCCCTTGACTGGAATCGAACCGGGGACCCTTGAGTCCGAAGGCCGATGCTCTATCCACTGAGCCAAACTGGCCAGGGCTCCATTCTTTGTGTATAAATGAATCTATTACATTACTAACTAAAAGTTGAATAACCCATATCTTCAGCATTTCCCTCACTAATAACTCAGGATCTCATTTGCTGGCACCCTCTCCTCTCCTGGCTTTCTGAAAATAGAGTACTCTAGACTCAGACCTCAGCATTCTTATCCTTTCTATTTTCATTCCATCTCTAGGTAATCTCATCTAGTCCCATAATCTCTTTATACTGAAAACTCCCAAATTTATATCTTCTGCCTTGCTCTTTCCTAAGCTCCCACCTCAAATATCCAACTGTATACTCAGAATTTTTCCTGAGCAATCAGGTATAAGCTTGTCCAAAGGTTTACCCCATCTCAGTAAATGGTTATCACCATCCACCTAATTACTTAAGTCAAAAACTTTGAATTTACCCTCTATCCTTCCATTCACTTACCTCCCAACAATATATCTTTCCGGCCTATATCCCAAATTCAGTCTCTATTGCTGCCACTCTAGTCCACGTTATTAACATTTCTCATCTGGATTATGCCATCGATTCCTTACTGGTGATGAGGTTCTGTCATTCATTCAGAGTGACAGATTTTGCTGAAAAAGAAAAGAAAGTTAACTTAACATGATGTACATTCAATGAAACCATATTGTTGTTGGAAATGACTACCTTGTTTCTTCCTTTTCTCATTCTCTGTACTTTCCTCTTTCTATGTGTATCTCCCTCCCTTTTTCTAACTCCTTTCCTTTTCTCTCCCTCCTCTTAATCGTCTCTTTCTCTATTTCTCTCCCTACTGTTTTACTAAACATAATGTAGTGGGAAGATACTAGGCCTTAGAAGTAAAGGATTTATTCCTTTGGTCTGTCATGGTGAAGGTAGGTAATTATGATGAAGTAAATTTTTACTTCTGGTCCTCAGGTGTCTCATCTAGTAAATAAAGAGATTATACTGGATAGTCTCTGAGGTCCCTTACAGTTCTAGAAATCTATTCAGGTTATTTATTGAGTTATTGAGTAAAGTGCTATGTTCCTTGTTCTTAAAAGTAGGTAAATTCAATATTTTATATGTCCCTGAGGGGGGGAAAGCAAATTAGTTTGGTGTTGGTTTTTTTACAAAGCCTTCCATTGATCCTTTTCTATCATGGGTCAGTGGCTCTCAATAGAAAAAAAAAAATACCCCTCTCCTTTGGCGTACTCTATATAGTCAATATCTCTGAGTTATTTCTGTCTTTGGGCCTTCCTCAGGACAAGCAGATCCCAAGAAGAAGCCAATATGCCACTTAATATGAAGGCTATCATGTTTCAGGCACGTAATGTGTTGTGGGCTCTGTGCTGACAGACAAACCTACATAAGGTAGGTATTACATTATCACTCCTCTTTCACAAAAGAGGAAACTACGACGCAAAGGAGTTAAGAAATTTGCCTGAAGATGCACAGCCAATGCATGGTGGAGCCAAACTTTGGACTCATGTCTTACTCAAAAGCCCATGCTCTGAAAGATTAGACTATACTGCCTCCCTCCTGAGAGGCTAAAGCCCTGCAGTCTCTCTTACAGGTCTCTCTCTCCTTTAGGACTGACAAAACATGTGGCTTCTGATATCTTAGACCACATCCTAGCCACTGCCTGACCTGACAATGTCAACTAAACTACAAGGATTTTAAGAGCAGAGGCTAGTGATTTCTTATGGTACTGGTAGCAGCCATGTGGACACTCCGTAAATGCTCCTGACTGAGAAAGGCAAGCAATTTACACATGGTGAAAAGCAACTTACACAGCTAGGACTTTTTGCTTAATGCAAATTCTGGTGATGCAAAGGTTAGGATGAAGGAGAGATTGTGCTAGGACTAGAGATATGGCCAGGCTTCCCATAAAGTCTAATTCCATGACCTCATTATCATTTGCAGAAAATAGAACTATTGGTAACCCTAGAGAATTACTTTAGAAAATGGCTAAAAAAAAAAATTGTTTTAATTAAGACTCTAGGTATTTAAGTGAAATATCAGGTCAGCACATTTGTGGAAGAATTTTTCTTTTTTAAATGCTTCAATAGGTCTTCAGAAGTAGAATTTAATTTGCATGACCATTTCCTGAGCAACATCAGAACAGAATCAATTCTCAAGGTATCTTTTGTACCAGAGGAATTTATGAGCTTCCTGGCCAAGAGGACCAATTGGCAGAGTCTCTAAAATTCTGCCTCCCACCCCCATCTCTAAGAGAACTGTGCCTGGATAGATAGAAAACCTTGGATGCCTTTCTGGGACACTGGTTTGGTGCTGATAAAGGCAAAATGTTGTAGCATTGTGTGATGCCATTCAAATATCTTCAACCCATCCTTGGGATTGAGTGTCTGTATCTCCTTAAAACAAAGAGTTTAGGAGAGAAATACCAGACTATTCTTTAGGATGTTCTTCACTTGGGGAACTGTAACATTGGTGAAGAAACAGCATGAGCACCATCCGTAGACAGACACAACAAGGTCATCAAGGTGGTGGGCAGGAACTCCCAATGGAGGCCAGCCAACAGTCAAACAGCAATAGCAGAACAGATGTTTGAGAGGTTGACAGCTTCCATGGAGAATATGTACATTAATCAGGACCACACCAAAGAAAGGAAGAGCTTGGAAAGTGGAAGAGGGAGGAAAAGATTGAGGTCCTATTGATTCCACCTGGTAAGTTCTCAAGGTTAAAACTATTTGTGATCATCACCTTTACCTTGTTTTTTCAAACCTACCCCCTCAAATTGGTGTGACCTGGAAAAAAAGAATTAGAAACGTTGTCAAATAACAGTATTATATCTACAGACAAAATATTGATTCTGGATATTTCTTTCTTTTCTTATACTTCCTTGGTAGGAACATTTTTCTAGCCTATCTAAGAGATGGCAGCAATCGAGCCTGTTCCTGATTTATTTTATCTAGTCAACTGCAACACACAACAAAACCTCGCCCAAGAAACAATGACAACAGACATAAAATTCAGGTAAACAAACATAGTTTTTTCTTTCTCTTTACTCAAAAAAGGTAATATTATTGACTCTACCTACCAAAAGAACATTAACTATTTTATCCGCCCCTCAGAACTCTTGTTTTTTCTGCCTTCTTTTAAAAACGAACTTTTAATTCCAGCTTTTCTTAAAGCTTATTGAGATGTGACATTCCAAGCAATCTCTGAGAAGTGTAAAAGTGAGAATAATAGCTGTGATTAACTCTGTTTATATACCAGACACACTTACATTTCACTATAAATATTCCACATGAAAACCTCTGAAAGAGAGCCAATTATGGTGAGAGGTTTATCTATGTGACATTTGTCAAAGAAAAAAATAAGCTTCAGTTTCTATTTGGAAAAATTATTTCCTGGGATGATGTAAGTTTGTACATTTACCAACCGGGGAAAAAATGAGGAGTAGAACTAAAATGATGAAGTGCATATAGTTTAAGTTGTAGGCCTCTCTCTGCCCCCTGAACCCCCACACTATCATAAAAACACAGAGTACACATACAAGAAAATACTAGTTCCTATCATCTTCATTCCAACACTAGCACTGGTCACGGAGGGAACATCCGTGCAAACAGAAAATTTCCCTATCACATGTGCTCTGCTATTAGAAAAATCCATTTTGTTCCTAACCTTACAGCTCAAAGTAAAATTACAATTTGAAATGAAAATCGTTCTTGCCCTTACAACTCTTACTTGGAATGTGTTGCCTTCATTTTGTTGTTCCTCCACAACTTGTCACGTACTGTTAATTTTAGTTTTTAGGGAGAGAAAAACACAATTTTTCAGTGTTCCTGTTCACTTTTCTGTCCTTTTTGCCCCCAAGGCTCTTGATTACAAATGTCGCCTTCAATCAAACCTAGCAGATGAGTGTGAATACATATTGCAATGCTAGTTCTAACCTCTGTGTTCTGATCCTTTGGGGGCCTGGAAGTTCTGCTAATCCAATCTTGAAAATCAGTCCTTTTAACCAAAGTATTTCCCAGAAAAACATCTATACATACAGCCAGACAGTCCATAGGAACAGGACTGTTAGACATTAGTACAGCCCTACCAATGACTTATAGCCAACATCTGCTGTGACAGGTTATAGCTTCTATTTTGATTGGTCAATGACCAAGCTAATTCAGCTGTTAAATACTTTTTAACATCCCAAATATAAGTCAAAGAAAATCTTTATTAAGTTCACTATCAAATCCTTTAAGAATTTGAATGGATTAGAAAACTGTGGTACATCTACACGATGGAATACTATGCTGCTCTAAAAAGGAAGGAACTCTTACCATTTGCAACGTCATGGATGGAACTGGAGAGCATTATGCTAAGTGAAATAAGCCAGTCAATGAAGGAAAAATACCACATGATCTCACTCATTCATGGATAATAGAGACCATTATAAACTTTTGAACAATAATAGATACAGAGGCAGAGCTGCCTCAAACAGATTGTCAAACTGCAGCAGGAAGGCCGGGGAGGGTTGCGGGGCAGGAGGTAGGGGGGTAAGAGATCAACTAAAGGACTTGTATGCATGCATAGAAGCATAACCAGTGGACATAAGACATTGGGGGATAGGGGAGGCTAGGGGACTGTCTAGGGCGGGGGGATAAAATGGACACATATGTAATACCCTTTGTAATACTTTAAGCAATAAAAAAAAAAAAATAAAATAAAAATAAAAATAAAAATAAAAATAAAAAAAAAAAAAAAGAATAGAATATATCTACCGGACAACTGAGTTCATTAGCTCTTTACATCCTTACAATATCACTCCACTATGTAAAAAATAAATAGCAGTTTTTCCACATATCTTTTTCAGCTACCATCAAACCTTCACAGCAAAGCCTGGGGCAAGACTTAGCTACACCTACTACCTTTATCACCTCACCTTCCATTTATTCTCCCAACCCCATTCCTCACGATCGCATCTTGTCTCCCACTAGCATCTACTCCTATTGCTCCCCAGAAAGTGCTCTTAAGAGGTCACCAATGATCTTGATTGCTTACTCAGTGGGACCTTTTCTGTCTTTATCTCAATTGATTTCTCTCAGTATTTCACCCTATTGACCACTCCTTCCTTCTTGAACCTCTCCTCCCATGGCTACTGGGATATTTCCCCTTGACTTTTCTCATATCTCTATTTCTCAACCTTATAACTGTCCCTTTTCTCCAAAAACACCTGAAACATTGGTATTCTGTAGATCTTTGCTCTGTCTGTACTCTCACTTAGGGTGATCACGTTCACTACTGCCTCTATATCAATATGCAGCATTGCAAATGTACAAAGTAAAACTCAGCTTTTCCTTAAAATCTGGTACTCAGTCTACAGCTCCTAGTTCAGCAATGACTCCACCAACCAACCAACCCATCACCCAAACCCAAAATCTGGCTATTACCCCTGACTTCTTCCCACTAATCCCCATATTCAATAGCTCAACAAATAATTCCAGTCTATTTTACCTTCCTAGTATGTCCAGAATCTTTCACAGCTATTCATATATCACACAAAATTCTGCATACAATTTCAGGGTATATCTCTACAGACATCCAAAGAATCCACAAATCCAAGATGTCATAGAGAAACATGTGAGGTGGATCAGAGGTGGTGGGAATGTTTAGAATGAGAATTTGTTTCAGAAAAATAAAAGGAAAGTTTCCCTACATTACACAAAACTATATATCAGAGTCATTAAAGGGCCAAATAATTTTTTAAGCTACAGAGTATTAGGGGAAATGTTTTTATAACCTTGGAAGAGGTATAAAATTATTAAACCATACAAGAAAGTACTGACAGATTCAACTACATAAACTTCTGGGTAAAGTAAGACACCATGGATATAGGAAAAAACAAGTGTCAAAGTACATAAAACATGGGAAATATATATAACCCATGCCATTTATATCCATAAGATACCTAAGAAGTGACTATAGTCAATAAAACAAACAACACAATAGGGAAAAAATGTGCAATGGACAAGAACATTTTATAGAAGAGCAAATTGCCAATTAGTATAGAAAAAATGCTCAACCTTTACCAATCAAGGAAACACAAATTAAAACAACTAAATCATCCTTCATCTACAACATTGGCAAATATTAACAAGATTGATAGTGTCCAGAGTTATAAAGGATATGGAAAAAATGGATACCCTCATACCCTGGTAGGAAGGCAATTTGGCAACATCTGTCAATATAACTATCCATATAGTTCTACCCAGAAGTTCCACTGGTAAATCTCTATTCTAGAGAAATATTTGTACCTGTGCACAAAGAAGCATAAGCAAGGATATTCACTGCAGTATTGTTTATCATAAAGAAGCCTAATGCCCACCTAAAGGAGAGCCATATTATAATGTAAAAGAATTCAGCTGGGCCCTGGGCATGTGGCTCAGTTGGTTGGGCATCATCCCTTGCATGGAAGGATTGCTGGTTAGATGCCCGGTCAGGGGCACATGTCCAGGTTGGGGGCTCAGTTCCCAGTGGGGGAGCACGCAGGAGGCAGGCGATTGATGTTCCACTCTCACATCGGTGTTTCTCTCCTTCCCTCTCCCTCTAAAATCAATTTAAAAATCTTTAAAAAACAAAAAGAATGTGAATCTCAGCGGGAAGGCAGAGGTGGATGGATGGGAAGAGATCAATCAAAGAATTTGTATGCGTATATGCATAACCATGGACACAAACAATAGTGTGGTCAAGGCTTGGGGTGTGGGGTGGGGGCGGGCTAGAAGGGGTCAATGGGGAATAAAGAGGACAAATGTAATACTTACAACAATAAAGATTTTTGTAAAGAATGCAGTTGGTCTAAGACATAGTGCTCAATGACAAGACAATGTTTATGTATAAAATATCCCATTTACTTTTTTAAAAAACCTACACACTTGAGTACAAACATATACTTGGGCGTAAAAAGTCCGCATATTCTGAAAACACCAAATAATCATTACCTCTGGGGAGGGAAGAAAATTCAGGAGGGTAAGAACATGAGATATTTACCTTCTATAATAATAAAAGCATAATATACTAATTAGACCGGACAGCCAAACGACCTTCCTGATGTCCTTCCGGACAACCTTCCATCAAAGCCAGGGCTGCGAGGGCTGAGGCAAGCCACCGCGGTTGTGAGGGCCACGCTTCTTGCATGAATTTCATGCATAGAGCATCTAGTTTATTCTATATTTTTCTAAATTGTTTGAATACTTTACAACTAGGATAAATGAAAGTGTGGCAAACTTTTAAGAGAATGTTCCATCTTATTGCCCAAGTCCCTCACTCCTTCTGAACTCTGGAATGTCTCACAATTTTGCCTAATCTCTACTGTTCACGGACATTTCATTTAATCCAAAAATTATATACTTTCTTCTAGTCCACACCAGAGCCAGCGGGTTCTGTGGGCGCCTATCACGGCCCTGTCACCTGGAGGTGGGGAGTAGCGTTACTTACCCACTGCAATTCATGGCAGTATCACATAGAAACAGGAGACACTGACCCCAGGTTCTGTTTATGCCATTTATTTTGTTCTCTTTGAGGATTTGCAGCAGAGACCATGACTCTGTATAAATTGGTAATGTTCACTGACAGGTCTGTAAGTTAAATGACACTGTTTTCAGAACTTATGTGTGGGCTATGAAATATGTAAGCTGGGAATGTTCTCATAACCAAATGGGAAATAGAAATGATAAAATAAACCAAATTGCTTCTGGTAGAGAGAAATGCAGTAATCTGCTGTTAATCCCTCTGCATCCCAGAAATAAGCTATTGATTTCCCCTCTGGATTTCCTCAGGATAACCAGGTTCTAATCCATAAGAGTTCTTTCCCTCCCACTTCCAATTACCAGCGTTGAGTTTGTGATTCTGGAGAGACATTTTACCGGCAATGCTTTAAATGCCTAAATAAATGCCATCCTCCTGTTAACACTGTGGCCTCTTAATAAATTTTCTAATGTTGATTGATAGACAGATGATTGATAGATAGGCAGATAGATAGATCTTCCTGAACTACTTTTCAACCAGCCATATTTTCCCCAATATTAACTCTTCTGATAAAATCTGACTTAAATTTTTATCTTCAAAAACCTAGGTATATTTCATATAAGCAAAAAGTATTGCAATAATATACGTGGGGGTTATGTCTCGGCGTTAAGAGCAACATCGATGTTTAGCATTTCCATTTACG